GGTCTGTCCACCAGCACTGCAATGCTGCCACCCACAATGCTGCCTTAGGCAGCACCGGTGTCACCACTCCACCCACATCCTGGGTTTCCAACATGCTAGGCAAGTGCCACCTCTGCTGCAGCTGAAGACCTGACCACCCCACCAGCCACCCACCAGATATCTCTTCCCTTACCACATCTTTAAACCTAGGTATTACTCAGTTTGGTAAATGCTGAACTAAAGATATATTGGGTCGGCAGCTAAGTAATTGCGGATTTTTAAAAGAAAATCAAAGACAATTTTTTCATGGAACTAAATAACTTTATTCTGTAATGTATTGCCCGTTTTGATCAATGACCTTTTGCCATCTTTCAGGCAGCATCATAATCCCACGTTCAAAAAACTTCTGGTTTTTATTAGCAAAAAACTGAATCAGGTACGATTTGACATCATCATCATTATTGAAATTTTTACCATTCAAGGAGTTTTGTAAAGATCGAAACAAAAAGTAATCAGATGGTGCAAGGTCAGGACTATATGGTGGATGTGGCAAAACATCCCAAACAAGCTCCATTAATTTTTGCCAAGTGACCAAAGATGTGTGTGGCCTTGCATTGTCATGATGGAATACAACACCTTTTCGATTTGTCAATTCGGGCCGCTTTTCTTCAACTGCATTGTTTAATTTCGTTAGTTGTTCAATGTAGACATCAGAATTGATCGTTCGGTTGGGTGGTAAGAGTTCAAAGTAGACAATTCCTTTGTAATCCCACCAAACTGATAACAAAACCTTCTTTTGATGAATATCAGCTTTTGATGTTGTTTGAGTTGGTTCACCTGGCCTGCTCCACGATCTTTTCCGCTTGATATTGTTGTAAACAACCCATTTTTCATCGCCAGTTATCAGTCGTTTTAAAAATGGATCATTTTCATTACGTTTCTTTAGCAAATCGCAGCTGCTAATGCGTTGCGTTAACTGTGGTTCTTTCAGTTCGTGAGAAACCCATGTATCGAGTTTTTGAACATAGCCAAGTTGTTTTAAGTGATTTTCAATGCATGTATGTGATACATGAAGCTTCTCTGCAATCTCACGTGTTGTACTGTGACAGTCCGAATTGATTATTGCTTTGATTAGGGCGTCATCAACTTCAACTGGACGACCAGAGCGTTTTTCATCTTTGAGTGAAAAATCACCAGAACGAAATTTGGCAAACCAATTTTGACACTGCCGTTCTTTTAAGGCTTCGTCACCATAAACAGCACATAACTTTTTATGAGCTTGCGATGCGTTTTTCCCTTTGCGGAAATAAAAAAGCAAAATATGACGAAAATGTTCCTTTTGATTTTCCATTTTTCAACGAACGCCAAACGAAAACTACAAAACATATCAAAAAACTTTTTTTACTGATTAACAGCTGAATAGCCAACTATCAAATAACAAAATGTGTTTTACATTTGTACTACGTCTGCAAACCTAAAAATTCAACTGAAGCCATATATGTGTGGAACCCGCAATTACTTAGTTGCCGACCCAATAGTTCTTCTGGTTGTTGCTATGTACTCACTGTAAGGAATAGGTGACTTTTTAAAAAGCTCTTGCCAAAACCGGTTTGGCTCAGTGGATAGAGCGTCGGCCTGCGGACTCAAAGGTCCCAGATTCGATTCCAGTCAAGGGCACATCCCCAGTAGGAGGTGTGCAGGAGGCAGCTGATCGATGTTTCTCTCTCATCGATGTTCCTAACTCTCTATCCCTCTCCCTTCCTCTCTGTAAAAAATCAATAAAATATATTAAAAAGATAAAAAAAGTTCTTTATGATTAGCTGGTAAAAGGAAATCTCTGGACCCATCTTTTCATGTTATTTTCTTAGAAGCATCACAGAATGATGAGTCAACTAACATCATATAAATTGACTGGTGATTTCTAATCTTGTCTTTACTGATGAATGATTTGACTGGCAAACATTTTAAACTCTAAAAACCCCAGTTTTCAAATGACAATTTTATTAGCCAATATACAAGGCTGTTGGGGTCGGGTGGGCAGAAAAGACCAATTTAAAAGACCACAAAATATCCAGTTTAAGTAAAAACTGAAGAATGGCTACAATTTGTAGATTTGCTGGCCGATATCAAATTAATCATGTTATCAACCTTAGGTTAATAAATTACTTTCTTAAGTGTGTAGTGTGAATGAGGTATAGTATTATGTATTCTTAGCTGAGTTCAGCAAAATGTGTTGCCTTCAGCTATTATCTCAAAAGATAAAAATGATCAAAAGTTATATACAGGATTCCAAAATGGCAGTGGAAGCTCACTGATACTCTCCCAGTACCAGACTGGAAATACAACTAAAATACAGAAAAACCACCCTGAAAAAATCTTTTTTCACTTCTTCAGCAGTCCCTTTCATGGTTTAGTTTCTAACTCTGACACTATATAACAAAAAATTAGGACTTAAAAAAAGAGCTAATGCCTGAATCCTCCCCCCATGCCACCCCACCATCTCCAATAATAGAAAAACACATAAAAAAAATTTAGGAAGTACACAGAGAAAAAAGCTCATAATCAACCAATCCAGTAAAACCCACCAATGGTTAGGTAACCCTGACATATACAACAATGGAACCTTGGTTATAACCCAGTGCAGCCCCTCGGGCCATGGTGCTTTTCAGAGCATTTGTCTGTCTCGTTCTGTATTTCTAAATAAAAAGTTATGCAGTTATATTGGGATAAGGAAAACCTGGCAAGTAAGTTGGAATGAAACACTTCTTTTCACAGTAGCCCACAGTGATATGGTTGAACAGAATGATCTTTATAGAATAGTCTCTTTACCAGTATTGCCTGTTTGAGATAAGCTAATAATAAACAAAATATTAATAAAAGACCACAACTTCTCAGATACAGATGAAACTTTATTTATACATAAAAATTACACCTCAGGAATTCTCCTTTTCTAAAAAGTCTTTTAATTGTAAAGTTCAAACTGAAAAAACTGAAAGGAGCAGTGTATAGCTTTTTCATTTTGTACACACTCCAGTCACAATTAATTTTTTAAGCTGCAAAATAATATACCTCTCCTATAACAGGAAAAGCATGACCTTTTGCAACTGCAGACTAAAATCACATGGTGGCATCAAAAGTCAAAGTGAAATAAATTAATATTCTGAAATAGAAGACTAGGCTTTGATGGTACCTAGGTATGACCTCTAACCACTTCCCTCCATGTTAATCCTTTCGCTTGGGTATATAACTCAACAGAGAATTTTTTCACTAACATTATCAAAAAATAAGTGAAAAGAGAACTGATAAGGACTTTTGTAAAATTATCTCTCATGTTCATACATATCTAATAACATTAACATATCCACCCTATATAAGAAACAAATAACTTATATAATAATCATTTATCTATTCTGGAGCATGTAAGCCTCAATATCATGTTAATTTTAACCTCACTTCTCAAAAAAACTAATTCAAAGAATCATTAAATGTTCTAGTGATTAAATGTCAAGTGGCTCCTACATCCAAACAAGATTAAAAATGCTTAGAAAAGTTGGTCCAAAGGTTGTGGGTTATTGTTAAGCTGATTAAAAATGCTTAGTAAGACATGGTCATTTTTTTTTTTTTTTTTTTTTTTTTAGAGCAGGGCTTAATTTATTATATTTTACCCACTATAAAAAGAATTTATCTGATAAAACAGTCTTATTATGGATTTAACCATCATTTCTCATCTTTTCCCCCTCCAGCAATTCCCCCAATTGCAAAAGCCACCATTTATTTATCAGTAAGATGGTTACTCTTTGAAACTTCTGCATTTATTTCAGATGACAATTTAGAAAAATGGACAAAATCTTATAATTTCAGGTACAATGAACTTAAATGTCACCTTCAACAGTAAAGAATGTCAAGTAGCTGCTTCACTTTTTAACTTAGTGTTGTTCTTTGTCTTCTTCATTTTTAAGTTTCAAAAGAGGTCACACAGTTCTATAAGACTTGGCCAAGGAGTATAGGACATTAAAAAGTTCTTATTAGAAAATGTCAACAGTCTCAATTTTCTACCAGCTGGGCAGGAGACTCGATTTAATAATGCCATTTACTGCCTGAAGATCAGAAGAAATGACTACCTTTCCATTCTGTACAAACAGTCACTCTGCTCTTGTAATGTCAGTGTTGCTATACTGGGTTTAGTCTCTCCATGAGGCAAACGACCTCTGGCCTGACATTTTGTTAAAACTGGACGCAGGGTGGCATGCAGAGGCATTGGATCTGAGGCAGCGGTGAGGTGGTAAGTCACAGAAAGAAGCTTTCCCCCTTTTGCAAAGGGCATGGACACTCCAAGGGTGAGGGAAGAAATAAACAGTAAAAATGTAATACTCTATCCCCATCAGGATGAGAGCAAAGCAAAAATAAGTATCCAAAGATGACATTTTTACTTTAAAAATGCCAGATTTCCCAAAAATATGTTAGGAATTTATAGAAGGATGATAGGCAATAACATTTCTTCCTCTCATTGAGAAAAAAATTATAACAAAGTTAAATTAAAGCAATGCACAAGCTTTGTATTTAGATAATACTACCCACTAAAATGACATCTTTAGTCAAAAAGTAGCTCTGTTCAATCTGTTTAGACAACAAGCCTTTTCATAAATTTGCTTAGGAGAATAATTCATTTTTCAATAGCAACCCTCTTGAGTAAGCTACAGTTTACACAGAAAATATCATTGTACTACTATGATTAAAATAATAATGGGTAGCCTTTTTTTTTTTTTTTTAATACTTTTACATACTTTTTCCAATAAAGCCTAAATGAACTAGGAATCAGAAGATTTTCCCATTAAAATCTTGTGCTTTATCAAAAAAGAACATAGAACTAGCAGAAGTTAGGACTAATCTATAAGAAAATATAACTTACAGAATTATTTAGAATTTTCTATTTAACACTTACAGAGAGGCAGTACTTAAAGCATTACAAATTTATAATGCTTCATTAGGGTGGTTATAATTACAGAGTTTCATTTAAAAAAAAAAGGCTATTTGTGATTGATATAAAAGATCTGTCCCCAATAAATTAGATAAAAATCTTATTTATAAATGGATAAAGTGAGATCATCTCAAAGCAGTTTGTAGACTTACAAAGTTTTGGCTGAGATCAAAGAGCTGAGCTTTACACTTTACACTGCTCATGGTTAATGGTATGACTTTTTAATTTAATTTTGTTAATTTTAGAAAGAGAGAGAAAAGAGGAAAAGAAGAAAAGAGGGGAGGGAGGAGGGGGGAGAGGGAGAGGGAGGGGAGAGGAGAGGGAGAGGAGAGAAGAGGGAAGGGGAGGGAAGGAATGGGGAGGGGAGGAGAGGCAGTGAGCCATCATAAAAATTAGGACATGGCGGGGGAATCCCCAGAATAATTAATTGAAGCCCACACTTTCTCAGAAGCCAAAGACACATAAAATTATATTCTACATAAGAAACACCAATTTTATGTTTCCTCTAGACTCTAAAGGATGCACAGAACAAGGTGAGTTTGTATGGTTTTTAAAGTAATCTCTAAACTTAAGAAACCTAAAATGAAAGAATAAAGGTGGACAGACAATAAAAAGGTATTCTTCAACTTTTCTTCATTGTACAGGGAAATCCCCCTGAAGAATAAGAAAATTCAGTAAGTTGGAAAATATTTCTAATTTTATTTTCCCTTAAAGCTCATTTTAATATAAATATAGGTTTCATACAATTAAAAAAACCATAAAGATTTTTAAAAAGCAACATTAGTTTTTATGTAATTTTTAATCACCTTTATGAACCCTTGTCAGTTTAGACTATACATGAATGATGTAATGGTTTTGAAGCTTACTTTGAGGTCCTTTAAAAGCAATGAACATTTTTCTAATTGTGATCTTATTTGACATCAAAAGATTCCTAGCACCCAGCCAATGTGGCTCAGTGGTTGAGCATAGACCTATGAACCAGAAGTCAGTTTGATTCCTGGTCAGGGCACATGCCTACGTTGCAGGCTCAATCCCCAGTAGGGGGCATGCAGGAGGCAACCAATCAATGATTCTCTCTCATCATTGATGTTTCTATCTCTCCCTCTCTTTCCCTCCTTGAAATCAATAAAGACATGTATTAAAAAAATACTAATAAACCTCCTTTCTTCATGCTTTACACCTTCCTTTCCATTTTTCATTTCCATTACAGAATTTCCAATTCTGTAAATGTTTATTACAGAATTTTAAGTAGCAATGCCCTGTTAGTTATTATGAGAACAAGGCTACTTTTCCATGAATATTTATAAGTCCCCAAAGGCTGAATTAAAAAACAAAACAGTTTACTTATAAAAAAAAGATTTGCAGATTTACAATCTATTTTACTATAAAAGGAAATAGATTTGTACACATAATTATTTATCAACAAAATTTACTTTTAGCTCTGGCCAGTTTGACTCAGTAGATAGATCGAAGGCCTGCAGACTTAAGGGTCCCAGGTTCAATTCCGGTCAAGGGTATGTACCTTGGTTGCAGGCTCAGTCCCCAGCCCTGGTTGGAGTACACGTGGGAGGCAACTGATTGATGTGTCTCTCTCCCATCAATAATCCTCTCTTTCTGTTTCCCCCCATCCTTTCCATTCTCTCTAAAAATCAATAGAAAAATATCCTTGGGTGAATATAAAAAAAAATTTTTTTCTTTAAATTTATTTTTAAGAAGTTCAAATTTATTGATATAAAAATATACCTCACTGAAATATACTTACTTATAAAAACATACTGCCTTTGCCATGTGAAAATCTGGTGTTTAGTTCTCTAGATTTTCTTATTAGGGCTTTTTTCTGAGCTTCATCAAACCGATGCACCTTGAGATCCTTATCACGGTCAAATGGTATTCTTTCTTGGGGCTTATTTTTATCTTCAGCAGCCTTATTTTTTAGTTTTTTTTGATGAATGTCCATAAGAGATTCTGATCTTTTTGATTCCTGGGGAAAGTCAGAAGAGTAGAAATAAAAATCTTATTTGTATAGATTATTGACAGAATATGATAGTGAAGCAAGACATTTAAGTAGTAAGGGTGAACATTAAGAGGGCTATTTACAAACCCCAACAGGTTTTTCCAAACCCAAGACAGCATTTATGAAGAAAATATGTATCAGAGGCCAATTCAATTAAACCAAAATGAAGACATCTACTAACTACATGCCATATACACATAAAGAGCAAGACAAAAAGGAAACAAATATTTAAGTAATAAAAGAGAAAAGCATTTGTGATATATCAAATTTGGAGTCCACATAAGTACAAGCATGAGAAAGAAAGAGCAATTCTATTCTCACGTGGCAGCCTGGTTAAAGCCTTATGGATGTGCTAGTCCGTGAAGCCTACATGAGTGCCTAGGATGGGTTGAGATAGGGTATCAAGAGTTGGAAGGGTAAGGCCTGAGATATTTTTAAACAGCTGGAGATAACAGAAAACAAAATTTGGAGGAGATGAGGGAAAAATGAAGTTGTTGAGGACCTACTTTACCTAGAGCCCCTACAGAGAAACAGGATGAGCAAACTATACAAAAAGTAACAAAAGGCCAATAAAAATGGGGAAATAAAGATGGCAGGTTTTACTGATCCACTATGCAGATATATGATGTTTCAATTTATAATTTTTCAACTTTACAGTTGTGCTAACGTGATAAGCATAATTTTATGTGCGATATTCAACACTTTATTATAAAACAAGCTTTGAGTTAGATCATTTTTGTCTAATTATAAGCTAATGTAAGTGTTCTGAGCATGTTTAAGGTAGGCTAGGCTAAACTGTAAAGTTTGGTAGGTTAGGTATATTAAATGCATTTTGGACTTAATGATATTTTCAACTTACGATGGGTTTATTGTGATGTAACCCCATTGAAAGTCAAGGAGCATCTGCTTTAGTAAATTAAATATCAATGAAGATAGGGAATACATCATCCACTAGACTATTATAACCAATTCAAACAATTCAAGGTCTCAAATTTGTCATATCAATTGTTTCAGGTGTACTGTCTGGGTTAGCATCATTTGCACATTGTGACACACATTGATCAAACTACGGCTAGAATAATAATAATTTTCACCTAAAAAAGTCAATTCACTAAAAATCAAACTGAAAGCCAGTTCATATAGACACTAATTTGCTGATTTACCCAATTTAATTGTTTAACAAAAATGTGCGTTTTATAAAGCTTTATAAATGCCAGGGCAATTTATGTTAAAGGGGACAGTGTTATAGTAGCTTTTAAAAATTCACGCTAAGATTCTAGTTTGTTTTTTATTTTGTCTGTTTACTGGTAATATTTTAAATAGTGCAAAACTAAGAATTATAAGGTGGTTTAGTTTTAAGACTATTACCATTTTGAACAGCACATCTCAAAAGTAAGCACAATTTCAGTATGAAATTAAAACCCTAATTTTCTGATGCATTTTAAAGTCAATTGTACATATCACTACATGTACCCTAAGTACTTCAACACCCATTTCATTAGCTAGAGTTCAATATTTGTTTACAAGCTTTTCTTTTAAGGTAAGTTTATATACAATGAAATGCACAAATCTTACATTATATTTACTAAGTTTTAGAATTTAAATTCCTATCAAGATCTGAAACAATTCCATCACACCAGAAAGCTCCATATGCTCCTTTATACTCAGTCACACATTTCCATTCCAACAACCACTATTGTGATTTTTTTCCATCATAGATTCATTTTGCTTATTGTAGAGCTTCACATAAATGGAGTCATTGAATACGAACTTGTGTAGGAAGTCATTTTTCACCAAGCACTAGGACTTTGAGATTTAACCACACTGTCACATTTATTTATAATTTGTTTCTTTTTTTGTAGTACTCCATTATATATAGTTTGGTTTTTCTTTCTCTTTGATGGGCACCTGGGCTACTCACAAATTTAGCTATTATGACTAACATGTCTGTGAATATTCTGTGTAAGTCTTTTCTTGAAGCTACTATGAATTAAAGCATGTTCAAGTCTTCATGTGGACATGTTTTCATCTGTCTTAGATAAATGGCCAGGATGGAGTTGCAGGATCAAAGGGTAGGTATATGCTTAGTTTTATAAAAATGCCCATTTGGAAAAAGGCACAGCTTTTTCAACTATTCTTCTTTTCTAACATAACTCAATATGGCTAAAATCTTGGCCAAAAGTACCACTTTATATTGCATCCCATATATTTGTATTTTTGTATCATTCAGATTTAGGTATTTTCTAAATTCCACGAATCATGTCTTCTTTGATGCAAAGTTTAAATTTTGATTTTTTTTTAAGTTCTTGTTGTATAAGACTTTAAAATTATTTGAATTTTAACTTAAATTCTGTGTGGTCAGAGAAGTTGGCTTGAATGATTGTGACTTTCAATTTTGTTGAGACAATGACTTTTGAGCTCATCAGTTTTCATAAATGTTCCCTGGCAGTTGAGTTATTGGTCAGTTTCTAAAAAAGTTTCATGTGCTTCACTGTCTACATATGTCCAATAAATCATTCTCATTATATTTTTAATGTTTATGGGACTTATTGTTAACTAATATCTTAGAAACAGAAGGTAATTTTCCTGAACACCTTTCAGGACCAATGGGCTAAGTGAATGACATTTATTCTTTGAGCTCGAACACCATTTTTCTTTCTTCTCTCGAGTAAGAGAATGTAACAAAATGATGATATGCCAAATGAATCCTGACCATTCAGTTTACAAATTTAGATTGAACCAAATTTAAAAACATTTTTCTTCCATATTTAAATCTTTGCATAAAACATTCCAAATCTGCTTATAATTAAAAAAAATATATGAATTGAGGTTCTCTAGGAGTTAGTAGGGCTCTTACTTCCTAAGATAACATACTACTGATCTCTAGGAATTAAATTTCTTACACTGAGTGGCCAGATTATTATGATCTCTGAACATAATAATCTGGCCACTCAGAGTGTGTGTGTGTGTGTGTGTGTGTGTGTGTGTGTGTGTATACATTAGAGGCTCAGTGCATGCATTTGTGCATGGGTGGGTGGGGTTCAGCCACATCTTTTGCTGGCCAGGGGCAGGAGACATGGGTGGTTGGCCAGCCTGCCTGCTGGTTGAACTCCTGGTGGAGGGGACAATTTGCACATTAGCCTTTTATTATAAAGATTTTACATAAATATATATACAACAGAGTTTAGACATGTAAAAGAAAAAGAAACAAGCAAAAGAAAAAATGAGGAGCATTAAAATATAGAAAAAAGTTAAAGGTTATATATTTTTTCTGACTTACATTGTATGAAGACACCTGCTCAGCCAATCTCTTTTCCCTTCCTGACAATATATGTTCTTCATCCTTCTTATTGAATGACTTCTTCGCTTCTTTTGTCTCCTGAGGAATGAACACAGATTACACATTACTGAACCATATATAATAATTAAGAGAAAGTAAAAAAGAAATATTACTATTTTTACTCAGATTGAATAATTAGAGCCTAAACTAAGTCAGGCTTGTTGAACCTCTTTCCATTAGAAATGTTAATATACTCTTAGAATACTAAGAGGTCTGTTAGTATTCTAAGATTTTCCTAAAAATAAGAAAAAACAAACAAACAAACAAACAAAACATACCACAACTCTATCAACTAACTGGAAGAATCACCTGTTTCCTGAACTCACACATGAGTCTGACAATGATGAAATGTAAAAGATAAAATAAGGCTTAAAAAGAAATCCTGTATTATATTTTCAAAACTTGGAAAATTACTCTTGAGGAAACAAAGGAAAAAAAAAAAAAGAGGTGTACAGACTGGAAAATAAAAATAAAACTATATCCACAGATGAACAGATGACCCATCATCTAGGTAGAGAACCCCAAGCAATCAACCGAAAAACTCCTGGAATTAATAAGCAAGTACAGCAAAGCTGTAGAACACAAGGTCAATATACAGCAATGAACAACTGGAATTCAAAATTAAGAAAAAGAACAACCATTTATCATAGCACACACACAAAAACAAAGTTTGTACTTAGATAAATTTCCAACAAATTTTAGTTAGGAAAAAAAACAATTAAAAACCATCTTTTCAAAGCATACTTTCATGCTATAGCTATTTGCTTAAGAAAACCAATGAGACTCTTATACAATATTTATCTTACTAATGGACTAAAACAACATTTTATTTAATGAAGTATGTTAAAAACACAGAAATAGTTCAATTCTTACTTTTCCATAAAACATTTCCAAGAAAACATATATTTCTAATTATAAATATTCAGAAAAACGTGATGTTATGATAGATGGATATAAAAACGTGCCCATTTAAGAGTTCATAGATATAGTCAAGACTGGGAGGTGATAATATAACAGATCTTATTTAATTAACTTATGCATCACCCTTCCACTTCTTCCTAAAGAGCAATTTTACTTCTTTTAGGTAATGTCAGTTAAGTGAATGTGATATGGGAGATGTATGCTTCAGAATAAAATAGAAAAAAGTAAGATGAAGTAAAGAGGACCTAATAAAAAGGAAGTTAAAAAAAAAGAAAGGACTAATATCTGTTACAAAAATAAAAAATTGGTCATGAACTTTACACAAAATCAAAAATATCAGCCGAAACCGGTTTGGTTCAGTGGATAGAGCGTCGGCCTGCAGACTGAAAGGTCCCAGGTTTGATTCTGGTCAAGGGCATGTACCTTGGTTGCAGGCACATCCCCAGTGGGGGGTGTGCAGGAGGCAGCTGATCGATGTTTCTAACTCTCTATCCTTCTCCCTTCCTCTCTGTAAAAAGTCAATAAAACATATATATATATATATATATATATATATATATATATATATATATATATATATATATAAAAGAGATCCTTCTTTTTTTAAAAAAAAAATCAGAAAACAAATAGCTCTGTGATCATATATAGTTTGTTCCACAAATACATATAATTCTGTGGTACTATCTGCTATACTTTATAATACATAAAGTTTAAAGGGTATTATATTCCTTTCGTAGTCCATTGTAAACACAGAACAATACATCTTCAGCCTGAAAAGAATAACCAGATCTAAACAACTCAAGTCATTAGGCCTACAATCACTTATGTTCAGGTTGTATTGCCTAGTTTTTAGACTCCATTTTCCTGTGATATTTTCCTCTGAACACGCCCTGCATATCTGGCTGTAGGCTAGACAACCATTAATCTACAATGAGGAACAAAAGGACAGAAGAGTGCATAAATAAATGTAAGCACAAGTAAAAAGTCCATGTAAGCAAGGGAGTTAATTGTATTTTGGAAACAATCATAAAGGCTAAATTAGAAAAACACCAACATTATTTTTATGAGACCAGGTAAGAAACATCAGATGGGCCTTCCAGGACCCGTCATTCAAAGGTGTCACTAATGTCTACACCACATCTTTTGCTGCCTCTTCTGCCCCCATTTATGTTGGTGCACCTGACCTTTCTACTACAGCTCTCAGATACCCTTTAATCTGAGGGCAAACAAAGAACTTATGGTGCTGCCACATACTCAGGGTAGGGTGCGAAAATGTTGAGATTTCAACATATTATCCACATTTTAAAAATAACATTATTTCACAACCAATTTATAATTACACTATAACACAATTTATAGTTACAGAATGAAAATAGGAATCCTCATAAGTCTAAGTACTAATGAACAAGATAAACAAAGTGAGGGGAATGAACTAAATGTGCAACTGTTTAAGTCAGAACTGATAAAGCTATAATCATAAAGTGCTAATTAGTATAATATTTAAGATTTGAATGGAATAGTTTAAGGGAATTAAAAACTTTGGATGGAGTAAATTTAAGGAGGATGTTGGTTCAACTCCTAATTTATAATGGAGTATTTCATAAAAAAGGTTTAAGAAAAGAAAAATGTAAGATAATGATGTATTTTATGCATACTTCTTTGGGTATATATTTTGTAAATTGTTTAATGTATTGATAAAAGTGCTTCTTTTTTATTAGGTATGATTGACATAACATTATATTAGTTTCAGGTATATAATGTAATGATTCGATATTTGTATATATTGCAAAATAATCTCCACAATAAATCTAGTTAACATCCCTCACTATACAGTTACAAATTTTTTCCCCCTTGTGATGAGAATTTTCAAGATCCAGTCTCCCAACTACTTTCAAATACGCAGCGGAGAATTATTATCTATAGTCACCACGCTGTACCTTACTTCTCAAGAACTGACTCGTTTTATAACTGGAAATCAGTACCTTTGACCCCTTCACTCATTTGTCTGCCCCCTACCTCAAGCAACCACCAATCTGTTCTCTAGACCCATGAGCTTGGTTTTTTCTGTTTATTTTGTTGTATTTAGCACTATTAATGCAAGTGCTTCTTGCCTATCTTGATAGTAACAAGAGTCTTTATGCATCATTTATCTAGGTTAGTCTGTGGCTTTGCTTTCCCCCACCCCCCCAAGATATTTTCAAAGATACCTTGTAATGGAAATAGTTTGATGCTGTAGGACCAATTTTGGAGTTTCATACTCTAAGAACTTGGAGGTAGAAAAGTCTAGAATGGAATTATATTCATCACTTACCAGCACTGTAATTCCAGAAACACTGACCTCATAAAGGTTAGTTTCTCCTATAAAATTAAGTCAATAAACCCATGTCTCAGAGTTTTCTAGAGATTTAAATGATACAATTTATTGGGAAATGGTAAGCAAATGGTGTCACTTTCCTTCCTTCCAACTTTCCTTCAAGGGGAAATCTGTATTTCCCCTTCGAATCATAATTTTCAAATAACCCATTTGGCTCAGTGGATGGAGCGCTGGCCTGCGGACTCAAGGGTCCCAGGTTTGATTCTGGTCGAGGGCATGTACCTTGGTTGCAGGCACATCCCTAGTAGGAGGTGTGCAGGAGGCAGCTGATTGATGTTTCACTCTCATCGATGTTTCTAACTCTCTATCCCTCTCCTTCCTCTCTGTAAAAAAATCAATAAATATATATATAAAAGAAATAGTATGGTTAAATAATTCTGCCTTACTACTTTTTAAAATAGTCAACATGGACAGAAATACATGAACAACCACTTTCACCTTGGCTTTCCTTTCTCTGTCAGCTGGAGTATCTGTCCACACTGATCGATCTCCAGATTTGACATCGGTTCTTCTCTTAAAAGTTCTGGGCCCAAGACCAAAGTCTTTCAATTCCGGAGGAAGCTCAGTCATCCAAGACTCCCTTGTAATTGGTTTAGATGCATCCTTTAAGAAAAACAAAAGGAACTGATGTTTTTATCATTATTTTACAAATTTTTAAAATCTAATTTATTGACTTTGTTATCTTTTTCCATACTCAACTGTTTCAGGAGGCAAATTTGCCAGTCTTTTCCTTTTATAGTTTTGGATTACCCAGCTCCTAAATTTTCTTTACATACATACTTGTTAGATATACACGGTGGGACAAAAGTAGAGGGACAGTTTTTTGTATGGAAAATAATATAATAAATAATAATACAAACCCTGACTGGTGTATTGAATGATTAGAGCATTGGTCCATTACCTGAAGGTTGCCGGTTCAATTCCCAGTCAAGAGCATGTACCTGGGTTGCAGGTTTGATTCCTGGCCCTGGTTGGGGTGCTTATAGGAGGCAACCAATTGATGTGTCTCTTTCACATTTATGTTTCTCTCTCTGTGTGTGTGTCTCTATCTCTCTCTCCCTCCTTCTCTTCCACTCTCCAGAAATCAATAGAAAAAAATATCCTCAGGTGAGGATTAACAACAAAAACAACAATAACAACAATAACAACAACAACAACAACAACAACAGAAGAATAAACTAGCCCTGGCTGGATGGCTTAACTGGTTGAAGCATTATCCTGTGCAATGAAAGGGGTGGGTTCAATTCCCAATTGGGGAGGCAACAGATCGATGTTTCTCTCACATCAATTTTTTTCTCTCTCTCTAAATATCAGTAAACATATTCTTGAGTGAGAAGTAACAAAAAAAGAATGAACCATGTTTTGCATACTCACCACTGTAAATCTATTGTACTTTTGCCCAACCCTGTATATGTATTTTTAATGTCTATTTTTAAAATTTAGATTTTTAATTTGCCTGTTTTTCAGAATAGAGTATATTTCAAACTTACATCATCTCCTTTGGTCAGTTTTTCTTTCATTCTCTGGGCTCTTTTATCAAACTCTGCTGTTACACTATAGTTAAGTGGTCCTTTTGCAGGCATTGGTCCAACAATGTCCTCATCTTCACTGCTATCCGTTTCCTTTTGAAATAAGACATTATCTTTAAACCAAGAGGTTATAGAATATGATCCCAAATTACTTAAAATTTAATTGATGTAATTACATAGAAACAACAAAACAAAAAAGCAAATAATACATTGTTCAACACATTAAACTGAAAATGAGAAGCCAGAATCATAAACCCATATCCAATCTAGGTTTTAAGTCATTTTGATATTTTGGATGGGTTAATTTTTAAAAAACAAAAAAGGTGAGTTATCTTATTCAGAAATACAATAGAAAATATGTACCTTACTGGTTTATATTTTGTGCTGTAGAATTAGGCAGACCAAGTTTCAGGGGCTCAATTTGCCTATGACCTTAGGCCTGTAATTTGACATTTCTAGGCCCCAATTTTGTCCTTCTGATGGGGATTATAACAGCTTCAACTAATAACTACTCTGTTGCTAAGAGAACGGTGGTTTTGTTCATCCTCTTTGAAGCCATGCTCTTCTCAGGAAACTGGGATCTTCTCTAATTCCTGAGGGAAAATGCTGGTAATTCTAGGCCAAACACTTTGGTTTTGTTTCTCTTGACCATTTGACTAAAGAAATGTGAGAAATGGTCTACGGGAAGCCTTCGAAGGCTTCCCTCCCCAGTACTGAAGGGCCTTGGGTACAATTCCTGGTCAAGGGCACATAGGTCGTTTGAAGGCTCCATCCCCAGTGCAGGAGGCAACCAATCAATATGTCTCTCCTACCTCGATGTTTCTCTCTCTCTCTCTCTCTCTCTCTCTCTCTCTCTCCCTCCCTCCCTCCCTCCCTCCCTCCCTCTCTCCCTCCCTTCTTTCCTACCCTTCCTCCTCCCCACCTCTATCTCTCTCCTTCCCTTACATTCTCTCTAAAAACCAGTGGAAAAAATATCCTTGGATGAGGATTAACAACAAAATAAAATTAAAAAGGGATATAGGACAGGGCCATTCCCCTTCTCTGAATGGATGTTGCCATCTGCAGGTGAATCTTAGTACTCTGGCAGGCTTCTTGATATATAAGGGGTCAGCCTAATGGGAGTTAACTGTAGATGATAGAGAGTATGGAAAAAAATAATGATCTCATTAAGCTGTTGAATTAACAAACCCTGGAATGACCCTACCCCTAGACCTCTTATTATGTATGAAACTCATTTTCCTTATTTTGAGAACACAGATTATATACTAATCTGGAAATTATAAAAAGCCATTTGCTAACTACATAAATTAAGACAATTCCATTTTGAGTTGAATTTTCTGTTATTAGCAGCTAAAAGCATTCTAGCTGACACACTATCCCCCAGGATTGTTTTTCGGATTAACTTAAGTTTACATGATAAGCAAATTAAGTAAATTATGCAAATATGAGTTTATATTGTACTTTGCAGTATCTGGTTTATGGCAAGGGCTCAACAAATGTTAACCATTATTATTATTATGTATGCCTTAATTTGGGGGTATATGTTATGAATGAGTCTAAGAAAAGCCTCTCTTTGAGGAAATATGAAAACAGGAGGGAAATTCCAATGCAAAGAATTCAGAACCAAGAGAATCTTGAACAGGTATGCTATGGTGTAATCCCTAAAACTATTGTGGCCCTCTGCTGAGTAAGCGTGTTTAAATGCTGTTTGAATTCTCTCAATGTCAATAGCATTTGTAGCTTTCCCTTTCTTTAAGCTTAGCAGTGTATTAATTTTGTTGCAATCTTATTTCCCCACAGCACTCCGTGATGTGGCTGGGAAAGCCTAGCCTGAACCTGTGAGAGCTCAGTCTTCCATATTGCTAGAAGTCCTATCTCTGACAACTTATTCCTATATTTAACCACCTTGTTAGAAAGGATTCCTATACTCAGTGTAAATTCTTCCAAGTTACTCCCATGGCATAAGCAGTGGAAGTGGTAATAATATTAACAGTAATATTATTATTATTATTATTACAAATTATCCACTGTTCTAATTTATCCTTACAACAACTCTAGAAGATAACAACCTGTATGCTACCAATAAAAAAACTAAGCTGAGCCGAACCCGATTTGGCTCAGTGGTAGAGCATCGGTCTTCGGACTGAAAGGTCCCAGGTTCGATTCCGGTCAAGGGCATGTACATTGGTTGCGGGCACATCCCTGATGGGGGGTGTGCAAGAGGCAGCTGGTCGATGTTTCTCTCTCATCGACGTTTCTAGCTCTCTATCTCTCTCCCTTCCTTTCTGTGAAAAATCAATGAAATATGTTTTAAAAAAAAAAGAAAGAAAAGAAAACTAAGCTGAGCCAGAATTCACAGCTCTGGCCTACCTCTCTCCCTTAACTCTTTCCTCATTCTCTCCAGTCTAACCATACTAATTGTTTTTAATAATTCTTTATTGTTGAAAGTATTACATATGTTCCCCTTTCTCTCCATTAACCCCCACCAGGCCCCTTCTTGGTTTTCCCCAGTACTAAATTTTTTAAAACCCTTTCTCCCTCTCCATACTTTTTTTTTTTTTTTGCCTTCAAATAAGTTAGCGGTACTCTCTGGACCAATCTTTCCTGCCCTTTTTGCTAAGCTATTTCCTACTCATCAATCTTCAGTTTAGACATATTCCCACGGAAAAGTCTTCCTCATTTCTTCAGATTAGATTTCCCTGTCATGGTCTCACTATATTTTGTCTCACCTTTTGAATCACTCATATTGGGCAGTATTTGTTTACTGTATATATTCCCACTACACTAAGCAATGAGGGCAGGGACTGTGTCTGACTTATTCATTCAGCAAATACTTTGAATGTCTACTGGAGATAAGACAAAATCTCTGTCCTCAATGGACTCACATTCTCACAGGGAGAAGTTAATAATAAACAAACAAACAAAAAAAGCAGTAAAGTAAATGGCATCTTAGGTAGTTATACATGCTATGGAGAAAATTAAAGGAGGGAAGGGGATAGAAGGGAAAAGGAGTTAGCAATTTTAAATTGGGAGGTCAGAAATAACCTCTTTTAGGAGACAGTCCAGCAAAAAATTGAGGCAAGACACAGATATCTAGGGAAGACCAATTTGGAGAGACTTAGCAGGTATAAAGGCTCAGGGGTAGACATCTACTTGTTTATTTTGAGAAGGTATGGCAAGAAGCCCAGTGTGGTCAGATCAAAATAGAGAGAAAATCACGGAGCTAACGGAGGCCAGATTGTAAAGGGCCCTGTAAGGACTTTGGCTTTCTGCAGAGGAAGAATAATTTATAGTCCTGAGTGTGTGACATGATCTGACTTTGTTTCATCCAGGCAACTCTAGCTGCTGTGTTGAGAAGAGATAATTGAGGAATAAGGGCTAAACATGAAAACAAATAAAAGAGGTGAAATATGGTGTTGATTTGGACCAGGGTGGTTCAAATTTGGAAGTGGCTGGATTCTGAATATCTTTGTAGTTAGGAACAAAATAATTTGTTGACAGATTAATTTCTGTGACTACATGCTTGACACACTGTAGAAGCTCTATAATATTGTTGAAAGAATGCATAAATGATTATGAAGTTCATGATCTTAACCACTGCATAGTATTCCCTTAAGTAACAACCTCAGTGTAACTGTTGAATACTCAATAAAGATAGACATACAGGAAGCCACACAGAATAGCAGAGTGAACAGGTGATTTAAAGGCATAAGCACTGCGGCTTTAATAAGTACAAACTGTGCAATCTTGTCTATACTAGCCAATTTTTCTGGTTTCTAGCATCTGTAAGATATGATCATACATATTTCATAACAATGTAGAGAAGATAAAAATAATATCCATATGAGTAACATGCCTTAAAGTTATAAAACACTGTACAAATCTCATCTATTGTTGAAGATATGGCTTTCAACAAGAAAATAGCCTTCACACTTGACTCCAAAATCACTTGAAATATCGTTTCATAAAATTAGTTATCTGCCAGTGCTATATACAAATAACTGAGCTAGGTAAGAGAGAGTTAATTCCAAGGTAAAGATCATTGTTTAAAAATTCCTGAGCTTTCTCTGCTCTGGGTTAGACCACATTAATTCTTTACATTTTTCATCATGTTCTATCTTCTAGCACTCTGAAGCTTCCTTTTAAGAATTATCATAAAAAGGTAATACCCTTCCAACATTATATATTATTTTTCTAATAGAATCTTAGGTCTTATAATTGATTTATCTACCTATGCTATAATCCTCAATTAATCCTCAATTACATCACATTTGAGTCAAAAACCTGTAGTCATTACTATTATTTAAAAATTATGTAAAGTCCTGAGTTTGTTACAACTTATCCTTTAAGCAAAAATTTTCCATACCTTAGAGTTGAAATATGATGGTACTTGGTGCCCTGGATCATCTCTGCCTTTGTCACTTTTCTGTGCAGATTTAATAAAACCAGGTGGTAATGCAGGACCTATTATGGGCCTGAAATATAAAATGTACCTTTATCATTTTCCTGTAACTTTAAAAAGCAGTTTTCAGAATAAAATTCACAAAAATGATAAAAAGTCAGAAAATAAAAAATGTGGATGAGAATTTTACTTAACATATTATTTTTATTTATAATTTAGTATTTTTCCACTTAATATTTTTAAAATCTAATTTTTGCATTTTTATTTTTAAAAAAATATATTTTATTGATTTTTTTACAGAGAGGAAGGGACAGGGACAGAAAGCCAGAAACATCGACCAGCTGCCTCCTGCACCGGGGATGTGCCCACAACCAAGGTACATACCCTTGACCGGAATCGAACCCAGGACCCCTCAGTCCGCAGACTGAAGCTCTATCCACTGAGCCAAACTGGTTTCAGCTGCATTTTTATTTCTATTTGTTAGTCAATGGTTAGATACTGAACCTGTAATTCTTAATCTTTATGGCAGAGATAGTTCTCTATCTCTAGCCTAAACCGGTTTGGCTCAGTGGATAGAGCGTCAGCCTGCGGACTGAAAGGTCCCAGGTTCTATTCAAGGGCATGTACCTTGGTTGTGGGCACATCCCTAGTATGAGGTGTGCAAGAGGAAGCTGATCGATGATTCTCTCTCATCGATGTTTCTAACTCTCTATCCCTCTCTCTTCCTCTCTGTAAAAAATCAATAAAATATATTTCTAAATAAATAAAAAGAACTATATCTATACTAATAAAAAACTAATATGCTAATTAGATTGGGAGATCTTCCGGACAAAGCCATGGTGGTGGGACCAAGGCAGAGGTGGTTAGGGGTGATCAGGCCAGGAGTGGAGGGCAGTTTGGAGTGATCAGGCTGGCGGGGGCAGGTGGTAGTTGGGGGCGAGCAGGCTGGCAGGTAGAGTGGTTAGAGGTGATCAGCAGGCAGGCAGGTGAGCAGTTAGGAGCCAGTGGTGCTGGATTATGAGTGGGATGTCCCCCAAGGGGTCCCCGATTGGAGAGGGTGCAGGCTGGGCTGAGAGACACCCCCTCCCGTGAATGAATTTCATGTATCAGGTCACTAGTAGATATATAATAGCCTAAGTGACTGGCCGACTGGCCAACCAGCTGATTAGCCGGTAACTATGATGTGCATTGACCAGAAGGGGGTACATGCTCAATGCAGGAACTGCCAAGCTACAGTCACTGGCCAGCAGCGGTTCTCAGTTCTCAGATGATGCACCTGGAACCAGAAAGGAGGGAGCCTGATTCCTCTAGGGTGCATCACTTGAGACATGCCCCTTGCAACCCAGGACCCCTCAGGGGATGTGGGAGAGCCAGTTTCAGCATGATCCCCATGGGCCAGGCTGAGGGACCCCACTGGTGCACCAGGCCTCTAGTTTTAAATAAAAATGGTGATTAAAAAGAGTTGTTATTATGGACTAAAGCCAACGAAGATGTTTTTTCTATTTGGTGCCTTGGTTTTCAGTTTCAATATTCACTGTCCACTGAAAAATACGTTAGGGGTATTATAATTATAGTCCAAACTTCTAAACTATAAATTGAACTTGAAAGACATGTACAGCACATGCACACAGCAGATGTTAGTAACTTAGGATACACGTATAAAAAATCTAAGCCTTGTCTTCATTAATCTGAAAATGATGTGGAAGTGTATAGAAAAGAATGTATTTGAAAAAAAGGAAAAGTTACTGTGCTAACCACATGCCAACCAGCGTAACTTTGTTTCCATAAAATAACCTTGCCAGATGTAAGTCACTCCATTTTCTAGGTGAGCAAAATAATGCTCAAGGGCAACACACACTAATAAGTGGCAGAGCTGGAGTCTGAACCCTGAACTACTTAATGAAAAGTTCATTTTCTTTTAAACTGCCCTATTGCCATATTGAGAGAACTGCTATCAGTCCAGTAGAGATAACTGCCTAAATTCTGGGTCTTAAAAAGAGAAAACTTTACTTTGTATAGAGAAAAAAGAAAAGATATTTTCTACTCTTGTTCATACTTTCAAGTTTCTTTATCCTTTCTTTCATACCAATGTCTTTTTCCAGAGATGTCACTGAGCCATTATTACCATGCAAGGTGGGAATGAAGCCCTAAGCTGAATTTTCCAGATTGCACGGAGCTCAGTTAGAGCCTCCCGACAGCCTCCTGGCAGAGGAAAAACAGTTCTGAAAATCAGGTCCGGTTTCTGATCCTAGCCATTTCATAACCACTCTTCTTGGTTCATAAAACCTTTTTGAGCCAAATCAATTTTGTATATAAAAAAACAGGGAAATTTGGTACTGTTAGAAAGATCAAATTAGTTATCATAAGAAGTACTTCATGGATTTTTTTCTGAGTACAATTATTAGCATATTTACAAATGCAATTAAAGCTTAATTCTCTGGCCTTAGGGAATTTGTAAAGATAAAATTACTGGTACATGAAATCTTAAAATATAGTAAAAGAATATAATCATGACATGTTATGGCTGTATAAAAGGTTTGCCTACATTATATGCTACCACCTATTTATTTTACACATGTATTTTATTATTGTCAAAATATAATTCTCAAAAAAGATACTGCTATACATTTAATAATTTATTTTCCTAAAAGAAATATTAGGAGAAACCAAGATGGCGGCATAGGGTAGACACCCGAATGCAGCCTACCACAACAAATTTGAATTTAGAACTGGAAAACAGGGGAGGCATTGCCCTGAAACACCGGACGGCTAGCTGAGAGGAGGCTCTGCCATCTGAGAAGGAGAGAGAAGGCATGATGAACCTCAGGAACTGTGAAGGTGAGGAGAACTGTGCCAGCGAAACGGCGCTGGCTTACTCCGGGCACACAGAAAGGGCGGACAGCTACTGCTCGGCTGACTTTCTGGTTCGAGAGGAAAACAGAATCACCCTATTGCTCTGATAGACGGCCATAGACATGGAGAGGCCAGACTGTCAGGCAGCGGGCAGAGATCTCTCAGAGGTGTGTGAAGCCAGAGGCCATTACTGCGGGACTTGGGGAGGAGCCGAAGGGAAAACAAAGCTTGTCTGCACCAACCCGAGACTCCGCCCCATCCAAGCTGAGCACAGAAGCTCTCCCAAAGGCTGGCTTTCTCTAAGGAGGGACTGGCCGGAATCCAAAGCTTGTCTGCACCTTTACCAAAGAGGTGTGCGTGCCTGCAACCAATCTTCCGAAACTCACCGCGAACAGGACTTTTCTAAGGTTAGACTGACAGGAAACCAAAGATTGTCTGCGCCACCCCGAGACCCCACCCCATCCAAGCGGAGTACAGAAGCCCTCCCAGCTGAGACTCTGCTGATCCTCACAGACAATTGGCTTCGAGATCAAAGCTTCCCAGTGATACCAACAATAAGCAAGGCTTAACAACAAGACTGCACACACAGCCCACAAAGGGCTACACCAAGACTGTCCACCACAGGTAACCGGGAAGGCTGTGCTACTGGGCTCTACCAGAACACCTAGTACACAAAACTATTCCATCAAATCAGGGAAACAACTAAAATGCAAACAAGAGGAAGGACACATAGGAAGGAGATGGAGGAAAAGAAAAGATTGGACATTGAGTTCAAAACTACAGTTATAAGGTTGTTCAACAATATCCTAAAAAAGGCCGATAAAATAAATGAGACCTATGAGGATATGAAAAGGGAGCACTAGAAATAATAAGGGATCAACTAGAAATGAAGAAAACATTGTCTGAAATAAAAAATATTACACAGAGTCCTAAAAACAGACTGGAAGATCGCAAGAATCAAGACAAAGATTTAGAACACAAAGAGCCAGAGGAAACTCCTCCACCGAAGCAAGAAGATAAGAGAATCCAGAAAGTTGAAGATAGTGTAAGAAACCTCTGGGACAATTTCAAGCGAACCAATATCAGAATTATGGGGGGTCCCAGAAGATGAGAGAGAGCAAGATACCGAAAGAATACTGGAAGAAATAGTGACAGAAAACTTCCCCCACGTGGGGAAAGAAATAGACTTACAAGTCCAAGAAGCCCACAGAATCCCAAACAAAAGGAATCCAAGGAGGACCACACAAAGACACATCAGAATTAAAATTCCAAGAGCAAAAGACAAAGAGAGAATATTAAAAGTAGCAAGAGCAAAGCAGGTAGTTACCTATAAAGAAGCACCCATACGATTGTCAGCTGATTTCTCAACAGAAACCATGCAGGCCAGACGGGAATGACAAGAAATATTCAAGGTGATGAATACCAAGAACCTACAGCCAAAAATACTCTACCCAGCAAAGCTATCACTCAGAATCGAAGGCCAGATAAAGAGCTTCACAAATAAAAAAAAGCTAAAAGAGTTCATCACCGCCAAACCAGAATTATATGAATTGCTGAAAGGGGTTCTTTAGGAAGAGGAAGAAGATAAAGATAAAAATTATGAACAACAGCCAGGACTGGTTTGGCTTAGTGGATAAAGTGTCGGCCTGTGGACTGAAAGGTCCCGGGTTTGATTCAGGTTGAGGGGATGTACCTTGGTTGCAGGCACATCCCCAATAGGGGGTGTGCAAGAGGCAGCTGATCGATGATTCTCTCTCATCGATGTTTCTAACTCTATCCCTCTCTCTTCCTATCTGTGAAAAATCAATAAAATATATTTAAATATATATATATATATATATATATATATATATATATATATACAACAAATACATAACTATCAACAAGTGAATCTAAAAACCAAGGGATTTAAAAAAAAACAAAACCTGATGAACAATATTAACTGGTGAATATAACAGAATCAGAGGTATAGAAGGGGAGTGAACTGACGATTCTTGGGGAAAAGAGGAAATGGGGATGTGGGAAGAGACTGAACATAAACTGTGCACCTATGGATGAGGACAATGGGGAATGGGGAAAGGACAGAGGGTGGCGCGGGAACCTGGTTGAGGAGAGCAATTGGGAGGGGAGGGAGAGGAACACATTTGTAATAATCTGAACAATAAAGATTTATTTAAAAAAATATATATATACTATATCCTCAGCACATTTTCTATAACAGGCCAGATAGGAAATTTTAGGTCTTGAGGGCCACATTTGAATCTCTGCTGTATATTTGTTTGTTTTTTAATGGCCCTTTAAAGATCATTCCTAGCGTGGGGTCATACAAAAACAGACAGTATATTGTCTATCCCTGTTATTTCTGAAAACAAAGAGCTGACAAATGTGATGATAAACTCTGAATAAAATATGCCCAACAACTTTCCTTTTTAACCTGCTCTTACATTGGTTAATAGTATTATGAATTATAAACAATTTGTTGTGCGATTTCATGTTTAGCATTTCAAAATTTTGCAATTCCAAGAAAATAGGAATCAACATTTACTATGAGCTTACTCTGTGCCAGGCACCATATAAGATACACACACGTGTGTGTGTGTGTGTTTATGTATATATACATGTGAAATGAAAAAGTCTGGGTTAGGAGTCAAATACCAGGATTCTAGGCCCCAGGTGTACCACTTACTGTGTGTGCAACCTTATCTGTTTACAAAAAGGAGAAAGAAGGATCATGTTCCACTCAGCCTATCACAAAATATTTGTGTATCAAATAAAAGATGAGGAGGTTCTATAAACTATGAAAATGTCATAATCATGTAAATAATTACAGGAAATTTGATTGTAATTATTTTTATTTAAAAGTTTAGATAATTATTTGTATTACATGAATTTCAAATATTAGAAAACATGTAAGTAAAAAACAATCGCAGAAAACTCATTAATGAACTACCAGGCACTAGTTAAAATATTTAGAAAAGACTGGCCTGAAATATTATGCATTATCACCTTGGAGGAGAATCATCCTGCTTTTTAAATCCAGGAGGAAGGGCTGGTCCAAAAAATCCTTCATCATCATCATCATCATCATCATCTTGATTTATCCTCTGTTTCCTGGAAACATAGTAGTGTAACTTTATGCATATGTCAAACATTTTTTTTTTCACAAGAATTTTAGTTTTTAACTTCAAATAACTGTATAAATACTGAAATAAAAACATAATCTTGCCAAATTAAACACACACACACACACACAAATACCACATTAAGTCGCCTACTAATCTTTTCCTGGAATTTATTTTTGGCCTAAAATGGTTAAAAGATTGGTTATTTTTCTTTTCTTTTTTACAGTAGTAATATATTAATTTCCTATATTTTCCGTGGTGTTAAAGATTCTATCACAAAGTTTCAAATAGTAGTCTGTTTGCTAGATGTTTCTGAGCAAAAAGTTTATGACTTTAGCTTTTAATCTTATTTAAAGAAAAGTTTTATGCTGCTATTTCTGTCTCATACACTGCATATGTAATTTTAAAAGAATAAATCCTATGGTTTATTTAGAATATTTAGGCACTTATTAAAGTGCCTTAAAGACAACACCTTAAAGACAAATTCTATAAAAATTTTATTGAAATTGTAGCTATCTCCACATCTATGTACTACTAACATAAATTTCTTTGTAAAAGCTATAGTTGCCACAGGAAATGATTTCTTCCCATTTGTATAAATGCAGACGTGCTATCCCCCTCACTAGCTATCTGCTCCAGCCAATGTACACCAGATTTGAAGCTTGGATTAAGAAAGTGACTGACCTTGCAGGTGGACCAGTGTCATCTTCTTCAGATTCTTGGTTTCCTTCAGAATTACTGTCCTCATCGCTGTCTGATGACTCTGAACTACTGCTTTTATAATTAGGGGGCAGAGCTGGTCCTGCAACTAGAGATTTCTCGTGTATGTCATAACTAGCCACAACTATTTCAATGAAGCCCCAGCTGACATTCTAAACTTTCTTTTCTGAATTCATAGCATTGGCTGGCTATCTTTTATTATGGACTTTAATCTTATTTGCTCCTGTTTTTTGTACAAGAAAAATAAAAGGCATCCAAATTAGAGAGGAAGAAGTAAAACTGTCATTATTTGCAGGTGACATGATATTGTATTGTATATAAAGAACCATAAAGATTCCACCAAAAACCTACTAAAACTGAATTCAGTAAAGTAGAATACAAAATAAATATTTAAAAAATAAGTTGTATTTTCAAACACCAATAATGAATTATTAGAAAACAATCCCATTTTCAATTGCTTCAAAAAGAATAAAATACCTGTGAATAAATTAACCAAGGATGTAGAAGATCTGTGCTCGGGAAAATTATAAGACACTGAAGAAAGAAATGGGAGAAGATACAAATAAGTGGAAGCATATACTGTGTTCATGGATAGGTGTCCTTACTTCTCAAAGCAATCTATAAATTCAATGAATTCCTATCAAGATATCAATGGTGTATTTCACAGAACTAGAAAAAATATTCCAAAGCCTTATATGGAAACACAAAGACCCCAAATAGCCCCAGCAATACTGAAAAGAACAAAGATGGAGGAATCATACTCCCTGATATCAAACTATTCTACAAAGCCATTGTAATCAAAACAGCATGATAGTGGCATAAAAACAGACAGAAAGATAAATGGGACAGAATAGAGAGCCCAGAAATAAACACATGCCTTTATAATCAATTAATATTTAACAAAAGAGGCAAAAACATACAATGGGGTTAAGATAGTCCATTCAATAAAGGGTGTTGGAAATACTGGATGGATAAATGCAAAAAAATGAAACTAGACAATTTTTTGACACCATACACAAGAATAAATTCGAAATGGCCTACAGACTTAAAACCATAAAAATCCTAGAAGAAACATAGGTAGTAAAATCTCGGACATTCCTTATAGCAATATTTCTTCTGATAGATCTCCTTGGGCAAAAAACAAAAGGAAAAATAGACAAATGGGACTACATCAAATTAAGAAGTTTTGCACAGCAAAGGAAAAAATCAACAACGTGAAATGACAACCCACTGAAGGAGAGAATATATTCACTGATATATCTGATTAGGACTTAATATCCAAAATTTATAAGGAACTTACTTAACACCAAAAAACCCTCAAACAGTCTAATTAACTAACCGGACAAAGGACCTGAACAGACACTTCTCCAAAGAAAACATACAGATTGCCAAAAGGCATATGAAAAGATGCTTAATGTTACTAATCATCAGATAAATACAAATTAAAACCACAATGAGATATCACCTCACACTTGTCAAAATGGCTATCGTCAATAAATCAATACACCACAAATGTTAGCAACGATGGGAAGAGAGGGAAGAAAAGTTGTGCACTGTTGATAGGAATGCAGACTGGTGCAGTCACTGTGGAAAGCAATATGAAGTTACCTCAAAAATTAAAAATGGAACTATCATATGGCCCAGTGATTCCACTTCTGGAAATTTAACCAAAGAAATCCAAAACACTAATTTGAAAGAATACCATATATGTACCCCCTAAATTCACTGCAGCGTTATTTACAGTAGCCAAGATTTGTAAACAGTGCAAGTGTCCATCAGTAGATGAGAGTATAAAAAAGCCGTGATACATTTACACAATGGATTACTAGTTGGCTGACAAAAAGAAAATTTTACCCTTTGTAACAGCATGTATAGACCTGGAGAACATTGTGCTAAGTGAAATGAGACAGAGAAAGACAGGTACCATGTAATTTCACTCAATGTAGAATCTAATGAACAAAATGAACTAACAAGGAAAATAGAGACAGAGTCATAGAGAGCAGGCTGACATCTATGGAGGATTGGATGGGAATTGCAGGGCTGGGTGAAGGGATTGACCAAAGAAGAGGGGGGGAAAAAGAGAGAGAGAGAAAATTCATGGGCACAGACAACAATGTAGTAGTGATTGCTGGGGGAGGTGGAGGAGGGCATAGGGAGGATAAATGGTGATGGAAAGAGACTTGACTTAGGATGTTGAACACACAATGTAGTGTACAGATGATGGATGGTAGAATTGTACATCTGAATTCTGTGATATTTAGTTAACCAGTATCACCCCAATAAATTCAGTAAAATATAAATTAAATTAAAAACCAAAATATATGAAAATTAAGAACTTATGTTCATCATAATATACTAATGAGAGATCAAAAGACAACTCATAGAATTAGAGAAAATATTTGTAGCACACATCTCTGAAAAAAGATTCATGCTGAAAATGACTTTTGTCTAGACCACATGTGTCAAACACAAGGCCCGCGGGCCAAATCCGTCCCGCCAGGCCTTGCAATGTGGCCCGCACCGCGCTGTCATCACTGCACTCCGCTGCATTTCCATCACAATGACAGTTTATGACTGTTCAGTAAACCATTCAGCCCGTGATTTAGGCTGGATTTTAGATTTTGGCCCCTTCTCTGATTGAGTTCGACACCCCTAGTCTAGACTATATAAAGAACTCTACAAATCAGTAAGAAAAAGGGCATCTCAAAGAAAAAATGAGCAAAAGACTTGACACTTATCCTAATGAGAAAACAAAAACAAAAACCCAAAACCATGAAAAGGTGATCAACTTTGTCACCAGAAAAATACAAATTAAAGCTACAATGAGATATTGCTACAAATCATCAGATTTAAAAAACAGATAAAAGTATTAGTGAGAATATGGAATGAGGATTCTCATAATGCTGGTGGGAATGTAAATTGGTATTGGATACTGGTAGAATCTACTAAAGATGAATGAATATATGCATATCCAGAGACCCAACAATTATAAGATGAAAAAGATTGAATATTGCTACTCTAGGTGGAAACATGGCCGCCAGATAGTCCAAAAACAAAAATTAGATTGAGAAATGGGAGTTACTCTTTTGGCTTTATTCTTTTCCAACTTTAGTGTCAGAACCAGGCTATGAATTAGAGCAAACATTAAAGGAGATAGATATGCATGGAGGAGTCTGAAAAGCATTTACTTGGCAAATACAAAGTGCTACTGTGTTACGGCCAGAAGTTTACAGTGCAATAGTGGAGACAGGTAAGCCAACCAGTTATTCGAAAACAATGTGTTAATACATGATGTAATTAAGTAGGGGGGGGGAAACCCATGAGTAAAGAAGGCATGACAATGCTTGGGAGAGTTTTGGAAAGCTTCACTGAGATGCCATTTAAGTAGGGCTTTCAAGGATGAGGCAGGAATTTGTCGGGTATGTTAAGTGCAGAGTGAAGCCAGATTAGAGGATTGGTGAACTGCCAGAAACTCTAACTGGTTTGAGATGCAATGACTGAGCTAGAAGCTAGGATGGATGGTCAGACTAGAGAGCACAGCATCTTCTCCAAGAGCCAGACACTGTATATCAGAAGGCCTCACTGGCACCCAGACCCCAGGGCGGGCAGGAAAGGGCCGGGAGGGCCCGGCAGCAGCTTACCAGGGCTGGGGTCCCGCTCCTCGTCCCCCGCTGCCCCGGGAGCCTTGAAGCCGGGCGGAAGCGCTGGTCCGATTAGATCCCTCGCCATGCGCGGAGGCCGGTACAGATCACGCCCGCAAGTCTAAATACACAGCGTGTAGCCTTCCTGCTAACCAGCCAGCAGTCCTTGGCAAATGCAGGAAGTTTTCCCGGCGCTGGCCGATGACGTTTCAGCGTGTGATTGGCTGAGCGCGTCATCGCGATGACGGAAGTGACGTAAAAGGTCTGCGCCACTTCGCACGTTGGGTTCCCTGCCTGAGGTTGGCATGGCTGAGCCGGCTAGCGGGTTCGTGACTCCCGCGGGGTGGTATCCAGCCCCCGAGCGGATCCCCACGTTGGGGCCCGTGAGCGACCCCGTCCCGCTGCAGCACAAATGGATGCTCTGGGCCATGTTGCCACCGCCGCCGCCGCCGTCTTCCTCTCCGCCGCCCCCCGCCGCGGGGCCCGAGCCTGCCGCGGATGCGCAGCCGCCCACGGGGATCCAGGCGCTCCCCGAGGCGCCCCCGCGCTTCGACGCCCAGGTTCTTCCCGGGTCCCAGACCCTCTTCGACACCCAGTCCCGCCTTGATTCTCAGCCTCAAATCAATGGCCAGCCCTCCTGGAGTTTCCAGGCTTCATCTTGGCACTGGAGACCGTCTCCCAGCAGTTTTCCTCCGCATCAGACAGCCTACAACGCTCCGGGTAAACTGCCACTCCTCCCTTTGCTCTCCTTCCATCTTCAATTCTCTCTCTCTCTCCCCCCTCCTTCCCTTACCCCTCTCTGATTTTGCGCTGCACTCTCGGGAGTCTGATCATTCATGTCTCACTATTTGTCCGGCAGGAATGTTTTCCTTGCCCTTTCATTCAAGGTAGTTATTGAATTCCAGCTATGCATCAGGAGCTGGGAATGTAGTAGGAAACATCTGGTATAGGAGAACAAACAAAATGAAGGCGTATTTGAAGGCCGTGCGTGCTGCGGAGGGAGATAAAGAAAGGAAAGATGGGTAGTGCAGTTTTCAATGCCAGTCATAAGGAAGGTGACATTTGTGAAAAGACATCAAGAAGGTGAAGGATCAGACCCGTGGGTGCTTCTGGAGGAATAGGGATACAGGTAGGACGAACTGCAACTGCAAGGGACTTGAGGCAGGAACTGATGTGCATATCATTGTCTAAGGAGGAACGAGCCTGGCGTAGAATTGTAGAAAATTGCGGATAGGGCAGGTCTGTAAGGGCTTTATAGTTGATGGGGCTTTGGTTTTTATTGTTGTGATATGGGTAGTGCAGCGGAGTGACATGATTTGATCTATGTTTTGAAAGGATTAATGTGACTACCAATAGGAATCGAATGAAAGCGAGGTCAGTTAGGGAGTTAGTGCAGTTTTCCAGGTGAGAGATACTGCGGACTTGGACCAGGGTGGGGCTCAGGAGGTGATGAGAAATAGTTGGATTCTAGATTTACTTTGGAGGCAGGGTAGGACCCAAACCATTTGCTGAAGGTAAAGAGATACGAATAACTTATTAGTAGGTGGTTGTTTTTTTACGCCAAACAAGTAGAATGTGGTAGAGCTGATTTGGAGAGAAGACCAGGAGAGAGTTTAAAATATGTGGGTCAAGTAGAGATACTGAGTAGACTGTTAGCTATCTGGTACTTTCAGGGGGGATTTGTGGCTGGGATTGTACATTTAGGTGTCATCAGCATATTGATCATATTTAAAGACATGATGTTGTTCACTATTCTCAAACTTTGCATAAAATTCCTTTTACATTACATTGAATCTAAATAATTGTTTATCCTGTGCCAAATGCTAGGAATACGAATGTGCCTAAGGCAGTCCTAAGTAAGGTGAGATGGTTCACAAATGTAAATCACCATACAGTGTGCTGGTGATAGAAGCATATAAAAGGTGGTTTCCGAGTGTTGAGACATTGGGAGCAGCTTTTGGAAGAAATGTCTTGGGAGATGTGTAGGAAGAGATATTTTGAAGGCAGAGGCAAAGAGGTGTCGGTACAAAGAGAGTTCTGAAGATTACAGCGTTCTAGTGTGACTGAAGCAGAGTACGTGAAAGGTATGGAGAAAGAATGAGAAAATACACCAGGATTTCAGGAAGGACCCTCGGAAGACTTTTGCAGAATTGGTGACAATGTGCAGGGTCTGTTGGAAGAAACTGGCAAACCATCTGGGAGGCTGGTTCAGCAATCTAGGTGAAAGATCAGGCTTCAGAGTTGGGTTATGGCAATAGAGAAGGAAAAGGATTTAGGACAGTGGTTTTCTACCTTTCTAATGCCGAGACCCTTTAATACAGTTCCTCAAGTTGTGGTGACCCTCCCAATCATAAAATTATTTTCTTTGCTACTTCATAACTATAATTTTGCCACTGTTATGAATCATAATGTAACTATCTGTGTTTTCCGATGGTCTTAGGCAACCCTGCTATAGAGCCTAGGAAAACACAGATAGTTACATTACTATTCATAACAGTAGCAAAATTATAGTTATGAAGTAGCAAAGAAAATAATTTTAGGAGAAAAAGTATTTCATAATGTTGTTTTCTGGTGTAAAATTGATGTCGAAAGAGTTGTATAATGTACTGTTTACCTTTCTAATGTTTGAAATACATTATTACACATAATGTCTGAAATAATCTGAATTTTGTCAGATTAGCTTGTCCATTGCTTACATGCCTAAAGCGTTTTTTGGACACTTAATCTTACCACCATGTATTAATTTGAAAAAATGTTTATTTGGTAGATTAGTTTTAATCTTTGGTAATTTGTTCAAACTGCTATTCTTAGAAGGGGCAGATTAGCACTTTTTAACTCAAGTATTTATGACATATGCTACAGCAAATAAAACTTTAAATAATTGTTTACTTGCAAACATTTATGGATCTCTTTTTGTTTTTCAGTTAAACATTCTTATTTTCCACAACAATATGATGCAGAGTTTACTGACTTCAACTTCCCTCCCAGTGGAAAACATAAAAAAAAGGTATTTTTTAAGATGTTCTTGAATGTGACACTTGGTCCCTATGTTACTCTTTCATATCTGTGCTTCTATCATAACTCTTTTAGTGTTTGCATCTATTATTGACACAATGGAGCCTTGCTATAATAAAATCTTTAAGGATCTTAGCTTAAGTAATAATTTCAAGTGAAATCTTTTTGAGAAATGAATGAAAAAATTATAGATAAAGGAAACATTGAATTCATTTCATTATAGTGTCAAGAGTAAGTATTATTGAGAATTAGGATTGTAGATAAATGTAAATGTTATTAAACCTCAATGAAGTAAAACATAATATATAAATTATATATGTATATTACTAGAAGATTGGTAGGGGTGATGGAATTAAAAATTGTTTGAATTTTTTTAAAGAGGAATAGCTTAGTTATGTTCAGAAACCAAGTCTTAAAATAGGCTTGCTTTATTCTGATGTTTACAGTCTGGCCTTTCAACTTTTAAAGTATACAAATAACGTTATTAGTTTAAAATAAGTTGAGTAAGACTCATTATTTTGGCATGAAAATATGTAGCTAATATTAACAAAATATTGTGAAAAACTATACTTATTAACATCTCAAAATTAAATATTTTCTATAGCGTTTTTCATTGTAATTTTTTTTTGTTTTATATTTAAGCATAAAATAGCAAATTGGTATAAAAAAATAACTAATCTTTACCTAAATCATTGTTTTTCCCCTACTGTAGTTTTAAACCTATATGATTGTGTTTTTTTTAAAAGATGAAATACTGTTTTTACACTAAATACTTATTTCTAGATCATCTTGATATATGCTCAAGTAAGTCTTAATTAGGTTACCACTTTGCAAGCTATTCCCTTTTTTTAAATTGATTTCAGAGAGGGGGAGAGAGATAGAAACATCAATGAAAGAGAATCATTGATTGGCTGTCTCCTGCACACCTCCTACTGGGGATTGAGCCTGAAACCCAGGCCTGTGCCCTTAACTGGAATCAAACTCTTCTATCCACAGGCTGGTTCTCTATCCACTGAGCCAAACCGGCTAGGACTATTCACTCTTACATTAGCTCTACTCATATTTAAATTTTTTGTTGTGTCTACTTGTCCTAATATAATTGCTTAAAATAAAAGAAACAGCATTATACCTTTATTAGTAATGTCTTAAGGAATTTCTCCCATGTATAAAGATTATGTGAAAAATCAGAGTATGTATTACTAGTAGGATAGTTACATTTTTATTACAGATAAAAGATTTTTCGCCTAAGCCTAATGCCTCTCATTTTTGTTCACAGAAAAGAAAAGAACCAGTTTTCCACTATTTTTGTGATACCTGTGATCGTGGTTTCAAAAATCAAGAAAAGTATGACAAACACATGTCTGAACATACGACGGTAGGTTTTGTTTGTTTTTTGTTTTTTATTGATTACAGAGAAAGGGAAAGGGTGAGAGAGAGAGAGAGAGAGAGAGAGAGAGAGAGAGAGAGAGAGAAACATCAGTGATGGGAGATAATCATCGATTGGTTGCTTCCTGCATGCCCCCACTAGGGATTGATCCTGCAATCCTGTCATGTGGCCCAACCAGGAATTGAACCGTGAACTCTTGGTTCATAGTTTGATACTCAACCGCTGAGCCATGTTAGCCAGGTTATCCTGAAATAATTTAACAAAATGGGTATTATTTGGTAGGAATTCTGTGCTTCTTTCTCTTAAAAGCTTATAGCTCATAGAAATGTTTGATGACCTGATAAATTGGGACAGTGACCCTGGGGATTCGCAGTTTGAGGGTGGAGAGCCCACTGCTTCAGGAAGCAGTAAGATGGCAGCAAAGAGGGAAGGTCTGGCAGCTGTCAGTATGTGTGGGAGCCTCTGCTTTGTAAGAGAGCTGGTTCTCCCCTCCAGTTGCTTGTGCACCTTTGTAAGTTCTTTTCCTTCTAAGGCTGCCCTTGACCATTTAATCACACTCTAATTTTCCATGGCCCATCACACTCTAAAGATGGTCTGGGCCTTATTAAGTATCGAATACTTAATCTTTTTAACCAGAATATTTGAGAAGCAAAATTAAAGAGGAAGTTCTTAGTTTGGAAAAGATCCTCTTTGAGGTTATAAAAATGCCCCTACTTTTAGGAATAAAGTAAATAGTATATATTACTGTACTATGTACTTTGAAAATGTCATTCTTCTTAAAATATATTTTTATTGA